GCAGGATTCCCAGGATAAGCGCTCTGGCCGATCTGTGACCTGCTTTGTGAGGAAGTGGAAGGAGAAGGTGGCCTGGCCACGGCTCACCAAGGAGGACGTCAAGGTGAGGGTGGGCTTGGCCTTCTTCCTCTCTGTCTACAGCCGCTGCTCCTGGAGTTACAGGGGTGACTGACGGCCCTGCCTCCTTTCCACCTAATATCAATAACTTGCCATCTCCTGTCTACTTTTTTTTTTTCCACCTCCTGTCTTTTTGAGCTTCTTAATGTTATTTTCTGGTACAGGGGATTGAACTAAGAGTAAGAGTCTTCACATTGAGCTGCACCTCATTCCTTACTGTTTAAGACTGGGGCTCACTGGGTTAGCCGCTCAGTTGCCCAGGCTGGGTCAGAACTCGTGATCCCCTGCCTGAGCCGCCCACAATTGGCACCCACCACCTGGGGCCTCCTAATATTCTTGAATCCCTTTCTTCGTTTCTCACTGGCTCAGACTAGTTCACCTGTTGGGAGGCTTGTTGTGTAGCATCGGTCCCACCCTTCAACCGTCTTCTGCACTCTTTCATGGTCTATGACCTCTCTCTCCCTGTGAGCCGCCCTCGTCGCTTCTCCTACTGTGGGAAGTCGGCCATCTGCTGGCCGCATCTGGCTTTCACATTCTTTTTTTTTTTTTGCGGAACCGGGGATTGAACTCAGATCCTTGCGAGTGCCAGTCAAGCGCTTATTCTACTGAGCCATTTCCCCGGCCCTCACATTCTTTTGAGCAGGCTTCTCGGTGTGAAAATTGCTTTGACTGGTTGCTGAGGTTTACAGTTTTTGTTTCATGCCGGCCTTTAAAAAAGTGGATATTTGCCTGTAATACTAACTGCTCAGGAAGCTGAGGCAGGTGAATCACAAATTCAGCCGGGACAACTTAGTGAAACCCTGCCTCAAAAGATAAAAAAAAGGCCTGGGAGGTAGTTTACCAGCCTCCCTGTCCAGAGAGCTTGCAGCCGTGGGATAAATCCTCAGTCCTGCCAGGAAAAAAAAAATGGATTTTTATCTGTAAGCCCAGATTACTGGCATCTTTGGAAAAATGGGAGGATCTGGCCGTCCCAATATAAATTTGGGTGAATAGATGCTTTAGATGGGGCGTGACTTTTGCCTTAGTTTACTGTTTCATTACCTCCTTGGCTTCTTTGCCCCTTGGCTGGGGTTGACCCTGAGCCTCCCGCCGGCTAGGCCAGTGTGCGGCTCAGAGCTACGTGCCCTCCTGTACGGATGCTGGTGGCTGTGGGGTCCCTTGTGCCAGCTCCTCTTCTCGGTGCTCCTGGAGGTGCTGACTTTCCGGACCTCACATTCCCAACCCTGAGAGCCCGGCACCTGGTACTTCCTGATGCCTGGGTGAGGAGCCCAGGGGCTGGGGACAGAGGTGGCCAGAGGCCCGTCCTCCACCGTCTTGTGCTCTGCCTCCTTGCTGCACCTCCTGAGCCTCCCTGCCTGTGACTGCTTCCTCTGCAGCCGGTGTGGCTGTCCGTGGACTATGACAACTGGAGAGACTGGGAAGGGGACGAGGAGGTGGAGCTGGCGCAGGTGGAGCACTATGCGGAGGTGAGCCGCCCCCATGCGTCTGTGAGGTCCAGACATGTTGCACCCCTCCCTGGGCAGGCTGCTCCTTGGGATCCAGGCCCCGCATGTCCTGTGGAATATTTGTGTTTTGGTCCTTTTTTTTTTTGGTGGAACCGGGGATTGAACTCAGGCCCTTGTGCTTGCCAGGCAAGCGCTTATTCTAGTGAGCCATCTCTCCGGCCCCAGGTTTGGTTTTTTTGAGATGACATCTCGCTGTATAGTTCAGGTGGGCTCAAACTTGTGACGATTCTCCTGCCTCAGCCTTGTACTGGGATGACAGGCATGCACGTCATGCCTGGCTCGGCCTTTTCTTGTGACCGTTCCCTCTCCTGCTAGCTTTTGCAGAAGGTCAGCCCCAAGGGGCCACCGCCTGCCATGGACGACCTGGACGTGAGTAGTGCCATCCCCTTTACCTTGCCATCTCCCATCGGCCCTTCCGAGGAGCAGCTAGGGCTGGGCGGAAGCCAAGCAGTTGCTTGGGCAGGGCGAGGTCCCGGGTTCTAGCACCGCAGAAGCCGCACAAAATGAGCCTGACTAGTGCAGCTGCTCTAGGAAGTTCCCATCCCAGTGTGCAGCGCCCAGTGGATCTCAGTGCAAATTAACAAATTTGAATGTGACACAGAAGGGTGAGTGCCCTTCACCCCAGTGAGCCCAGGCATGGTGGCACGTGCCTGTAATCCCAGCACTCAGAAAGCTGAGGCAGGGGGATCTCCGTGAATTTGAGGCCCTCCTGGACCACATAATGAGACCTTGTCTCAAAAAACAAAGAGAAAACAAGACACAACATCCCCCCCCTCACGCCCAAGATGCCCTTCTTCCCTTCCTCTTTCCCTCTGCGTCTCCCTCAGAGCAGCTGGCCTGGCTCGGCCTCTTTAAGGTACCGAAAGCGATGCATTCTCTGGAACCTAGGCCCTGGGGTGCAGGGTACAGGTGCCAGCCAGTGGCTTATTTGGTTGTCCACAGTTCAAGTCCTTGGCTGTCTGCCCCCACAGTGCCCTTTAGAAGTCACACTGGAGGCAGGCCGGTGGGGGTGAGGTGGGCGGCCAGAGGGGGCGCTGCAGGTGCTCTGACCCGCCCTGTCCCCCAGGATGACTCGGATGATGCCAACGGGACCAGCAGTGGACTCTGAGCACTCTGCGCTGGAAGGAGGCTGCGGCGCCTCTGCCAACGAGGGCCGCGCTGGGCTGTGGCCTGCTCCGTGTCATGCTCTGGGTGCGTGGTCCAGGGCTTCCCAGCAGTGCTTCCATAGAGCTACTTTTCCCCCTGGGCATTTTCCTCGCAGCCTCTGGCCCAGGGGCTGCATGGGTAGCCAGAGGGCGAGGCGCAGACGAGGGCTCCCCCATCCTGCCGA